TATCTATCTATCTATCTATCTATCTATCTATCTATCTATCTATCTATAAAAAGTAACTCAAATCTCTCTATGAACAACTCTGTATATATTCTATATTCAGATATAGACATAAATAGACATTCTATCTATTATCTATCTATCTATCTATATCTATCGAGGGTTGCATTTTACAGAGAAAAATAATATAGAAAAATAAGTGAGATTGTTTTAATAAAAACATCTATGTGGATCCAGTCCTTCTATGATTCTGCCGTCTTTGTGTACCTTATTGCTACTATTACTTAAAATTCAAAAAAGTATCTAAGGGATTGCACAAAATGTGAGGGTGGAGTCATGTCTTCATCCCATAGCTGAAATGAAGTAAGATTAGTCTTCTACAATCCAATGTGTTCTGGACTTTTAATGCCTACCATTTCCTATATTCCCTTATGTGGAGAAACATACCAAGTGGAGAAGAAACTGGGACATTGCATATTATCTCAGGTTTAAAATCAGATTCCTCCCCCCAACAGCTCCTTGTGAAATGCCGTTTCCCAATAGAGTTTTTCATATGTCTTTTCATAGGGAGATTTGTTACCTTTTATTGCTTCTTCTCCTTCCCCATCTGGAATCCTATAGGATTGTCTGCTAACTTTCCAAATAAAGCCAGTCTCACTTTAAATTGTGTGTATGTGTGTTTGTGTGCGTGGAGAGGAAGAGGGAGGCTATTCAGTGCTCAATCTTGAAAATATTTGACAAAATATTTACTTCTTGATTTCTTGGATGACCTGCTTGGATGACCTTGGGCCAGTCACTCTCTCAGCCCTGGGAAATGCAAACTGCTTCCAAAAATCTTGCCAAAAACATCTGCAGGGTTTTATCAACGTAGTTGCTCAGACTCAACATTGACTTCTCCCCCCACCAAAAAAAAAGGAATGGGGAGCTGTAGCCTTGGCGCCTAATCTTGATTAATCTTGTGTGCTTTTGCTCATACAGGAATATTTGAGAAGGAATGGCTCTCTCTGTTCATTTTGAAGATAGAGAACTGTAGCATGTAGCTTAATGGAATTGTCATCTCCATTCTCCCATGCTTTAAAAAGTGCTCCTGCAAAATATATGTGTAATTTTAGTTTTAATTTTTGAATCTCTGCAATCTATGAAATGATGATCTGGGATTTGAATTCCTTATTCTTTCAGCTGAAGATGCCCATTCCCTGATGTTGAAGGAGAGTATCAAGCAAACGGCATGGAGGGGATATTTGGTATGTTCCCAAACATTTGCTGGAAAGTTAGTGTATATGCTTGTAATTAATTGTGACTTGCAGCCAAATATTTTGTCAAGGAAACCAAGCCACTGGTTTTAAATTTCTTCTGCTGTACTGTTTCATGATACTTGTAAGTGAAAAGTCTCTATATAATGTTTAAACATGCTTGAATGTTTTCCCAAATATTGTTGAGTTCACCTCTGGGAAGAAACTAGGACATTCTTAAATAACTCTTTTTGTAAGTGAGGTCTATAGTTTCTTCTGTTGTATGTTGTACCTGCTCATATTCATGCATACAGATAGTCCTCAATTTATGACCACAATTGAGCCACACAAAATTTCTGTTAGTAAGCAAGGCACTGTTAAGTGAGTTTTGCCCTATTTTGTGATCACTGCAGTTAAGTTAATAACATGGTTGTTTAGTGAACCTGGCTTCCCCATTGGCTTTGGTCAGAAGGTAGCACAAAGTGATCACATGATCCTGAGACACTGCAACCACTATAAATACATGCCAGTTGCCAAGTGTCTGAACTTTGATCATGTGACCTGGGGGATGCTACAACTGTCGGTCTGAAAAACAGTCATAAGTCATTTTTTTCTGTGTTGTAACTTTGAATGATCACTAACTTACAACTAATGGTTGTAAGTCAAGGACTACCTGTATGCATTTCTGCTCTCCTTCATATTGTATGTGTGTGCATGTGCACTGTTGGAAATCGGGAAAGTGGTTATAGTATAGTTGTTGACATTGAGATGCTATCCAATTGCCTCTTTGCATAAGGATGCACTGAGAAAATTTAGGGATTTGCTTATCTGTAGCACTGAATTAGATCTGGTTCGTTTTTCAATCCAGCCTTTCTTTTTCTAGTTGGTCCCCTAGACCCCAGTATTTGGTTTTATTTGCTTCAGTCTTTGAAGAGTTATTGTGCTGATGGACAGACAGACAGAATTCCAAAGTCCTTTATATGTTCTTTCCCAGATGTTTGGATTGGACAAATAAAACACGGTGAATTTTCTTCTTTCAGACTACTGATAAAGAAGTTCCAGGTTTAGTGATAATGCAAGATTTGGTGTTCCTGAAAGGATTTCCACTTACTTTCAAAGAAACAAACCAGCTAAGAGCAAAGTTGCCAGAAATCCTTGTTTCCAAAATAAAGCAGGTAGGATGGCTGAGGAATGAATTATAAATAATAGGATATGCTCTTTACTATGTTTAGTTTTCTATTTTTCTCTATCATGTTTATTTATCTTGTCCAATTTTAAAGTAAGAATATTCCTACAATTAAAACTGAAATTTGAAAATGTGGAGATCCATAAAGCTATCTACCTTACCATGATGTACCAATTTATTGGAAAAACATGATATTATAATTAAGAATTTGCAGGATAACATGAACCAAGTACTGACTTATTTATTCATTTATTTTCAACATTTATATGGCTGTGGATATTATATAAAACAGCCCTAATCAGGCTGAACTGACCTCCCTTTGTATCCAAAATTGAACCTGAGACAGTTGATGTTGTCAAATTTAGAGATTGGTTGAATATCTATGGAAATGTTTGCAAGAATTCAAAGTTTTTAACAACCACAGGTTATTTAAATTAAATATTTAATTAAAGGTGTGACAGAATTGAGAGAAGGAATGTTAGTTCGTTCTATTACCTTCTTGAAACAAATAATTGCATTTACTTCATAGTGAAAATATCTTTTCATAGATATTTATGTCTGATCACTAGGTGTCACTGTAGCCTTATACATTTGAATACTGAGTTCAAGATTTTTTTAAAAAGGTACCTATAAATAAATATGCCAGATTTTAGAGCCAGGAAGGATAATGAAGTCTAAAGGCTGAATTTTAAATGAAATTTTCTACCAATATAAATGAATACAGATACTGGCCAAATTGGAAAGGCATATAACCTACTCCTATTGGTATCTTATGACTATCACTTGTTGATTATATCTTAAGATGTATGATCGTATCTTATGATTTATTACTTTGTTACTTCTATGTACACTGAGAGCTTATGCACTGGAGACAAATTCCTAGTATGTCCAATCAAACTTGGTCAATAAAGAACTATTCTATTCTATTCTATTCTATTCTATTCTATTCTATTCTATTCTATTTTATTCTATTCTATTCTATTATTATTTTCTATTCCACCCCACTCTACTCCTATTCCTCCCAGGTTTAGTCTAAAGAGTTTATAGTAGACTATAGTATTCAGGAATTTGTAGAATTGTCATGTAACATTTCTAAATATTAGGATAGTTTGCAGTCTGAATCTCCTCACATATCACTCACAAGATCCCAATTTTTTTTTAAAAAAACAATTCCTTAATTAAAAATTAACATTAATTTTTACCTAAATTTAAAACATGGAATTAATTACCAAAAATCTCACAAGATTCTCCCAAGGGGCTGGATATTTAAAAAATAGTGCCAGCGCTAGAGAATTATCTGTCAAACCTTGCCACTTTCGTACAGGTTCCCTTGTCTTGAACTGGGAATCATTGCTGTATATGGTATTCTTTGATATTTAGGAAGGTAAGTTACTGGACAACAGATAAATTAATGCAACCTTTTACACATGGAATGGAACTTCTGAACACTGCATAATTATATATATAACTGCAGAAAGGACAGTGTGACATTGTTGAGCTTGTAAAGCCACACCAGGTTTCTAAGGGCGGTTTTGCAATCTGTAGCATTATTTTTGGAGAGTGTCTCCATAACTCACCTTGGTCTTAAATCCAAGGACGCTAGCCTTTCATCAGATTGTCTAGAAGATAATGCCCTGGAAAGACAGAGATTTATCGGATTGTCCTAACGGTAGATGTCATGAATCACATTTGGAGCTATCAGATAGCAAGAGAATATCAATCATCGACAGCCTTAAAGTGTCATAAGTGACAGCTGGCTTTACATTTATGATTGAATGAGATGGATAAACTAAACAAATGTGGGAGAGGAGCGGGGAAAGGTCTGTTACAATAATTCTGGTTCAGAACTAAGTTACCTTCCATTTATGATAGCTGAAATAAGGCAATACAAGTATGTTTTATGACACCATAGCGCTGCTTTGCCAGAATTGTCTGGGTTTCTAAGGAAATTAAAGTGGTTTACAGGTAGAAACCATCCCATTAGTGACAGTCTGCAGGTTACAATAGCACTGAAAAGGGAACCAACAACAAATCCTTGCATTTACAACCATTGCAGTATTCCAAACAGTCACATGATCAGAATTCAGGTGTTGATCCATATATCTAGAATAATTGCAGCATCTTGGTGCCCATTTGCAACCTTCCCAACCGGTTTCTGTTAAGCCAAATCAATGGGGGAGGACAGATCATTTAACAATCATGTGATTCATTTAACAAAAGTAGTGATGACAAAAAGGATTGTAAAATTGGGCACAGCTCATAGTAATGGAAATTCTGGCTCCAGTTGTAATTGTAAGTCAAGGAATATTTGTATTTAATGAAGTTCTTAGTCTATTTTCAGATAGATATAGTTCACCTAAGAAGCTATGTTCTTTTAGATTAGTTAGGACTGAAAGATTACACATACATGGGTTTCTTTTAGTGTGTGGCATTTACTGCATCCCATTGAAAAAGCATACCCCTCTTCTATTTATCAAAATTGCTTGTTTTGTAAATTTGCCTTATTCTTAATTTTATGTAATACACTCATATATAAAAACAATATCTGTGCACCTCCCAGCTGTGATTTTTTCCCAGTTTGAAAATTCTTTTAAATAACAGTGGAAAGGGAACAACATTTTAAAAAATCAAATTGATAGCAAGCTTCAAAATGGTTATAATATGAAGGAGATTCAATTTGCTACTTATTCTTCATCCTGATCTTTTATAATGGGTTTATACTGAGGGAGACTAGATCAACACCATTTAAGCTGTTTTTGCCAAAAAAAAACCTCCCCCGAATTTCCATTTCCCTCCCAAAATATATATCTGATGTATGCTTTATCTGAGAATAAAAACATCAATTTGCCATTTTCATGTCACAGTGCTTGTCTGACGCAGTGCCTAATGTCAGCCACTTGCCTTTTATGAAAGCCGACATCTAAAATAACTGGTGGCAAGTGACAAAAATAGCAGATCAAATGTTTCCCTAGTAATGGATTACCGTACAACATGCTTGTAATAATGACTGAGATTCTGGCAAGATCAACAAATGGATTTGTTCTCCTTTTCTCTATGCTTTAAGTTGGTATTTCTTAACCTGTGTAACTTTCAGTTTCATCCTGTCTGGGGAATTCTGGGAGTTGAAGTCCATACTTCTTAAAGTTCCTGAGGTCAAGAAACACTGCTTTAAGCTAAATTCAAATGCTTTGTAGAATACTGTACACAGTTAAATAGTTTGTTTGGAAGTTTCATTACAAGGTATTGAGTAGTATCTCAATATGATACTAAGCATAAATGATGTATTGTTTGGGGAGATATAATGTAAGGATTATAAAGTGTTTATTTTAATTAAATCCAGATTATAGATCCTAACGTAAAGAATATCAAAGAAACCAATTGATGCAAGATTTAACACATTTGACCTTCTGAAGCAGAACTTGAATTGGAAACAAATTCTATTTTCATACTTCTTTTCTCCTCTCCTCTTGTGTTGCTTTTCTGTATAAATTCTTTGTCAAATAATAGTTTGTCCTTTTTAATCTAACAACTGGGCTTATTAGTACTTTCAAAACTAAGGTTGCATATTTGTGCCAAATCTATGTATTGTAACAGTTTATAATAGAAAGCCATGTGAGTCATGAAAAAGGGAGAAAAATAACTAATTTCATTCCAGGGTTTGAAAATGTTGTTTTTCTATACAGTTGCAGCTTTATTCTGAAGCCAGTGTAGCACTCTTGCAACTGATTGATCCCAAGGTTTTCCAAGAGCTGAACAAACAAGCAAAGAAGAATATGACTATAGAAGGAAAAGAACTGGCCCTTAACCCAGCTTATTTATTGTGGGATCTCAGTGCCATCAGCCAGGTAGGCAAAATTCTTTAAAGTAAGGAAAAACACATTGAAAATTTTCCAGATTTGACAACAATTACATTTTATAGTATGATGAAAAAAAATTAAAAACTGAATTGAAAAATGTGTATCTGTAGACTAGATATTTTGGATCGCAGATATCATTTTCAGCCAGATGGCTAGCGAGAATGAGAGCTATAGTCCAAATATATGTATGTTGAGAAAGTCACCTGTTCTTCCAATAGTCTAAACAGGATGAAGATATTTCACCCAGCCGCTTTGAAGATAATGAAGAGTTGCGGTACTCATTGCGATCAATAGAGAGGCATGCCCCATGGGTACGGCATATCTTCATAGTCACAAATGGGCAGATTCCTTCCTGGCTCAATTTGGACAACCCTCGGGTTACTATAGTAACACATCAGGTAAATGTTTTTGGAAATGTCTACTTCCTTCTTGCATAAAGTAAAAAAAAAGACATTTGTGACATTGATAGGTTAGGTGAAGGAGACAAGTGCAGCATTCACAGCTCATGAAAAAATATGTTAGTACAACTGTTGTGGTTTGCTGGCAGCCTGTGGAGACGGCAGCAGAGTCTGACAGTGGGGAGGAACATGGGCCAGCCCAGGAGCCTGGGGAGGACTTGGACAAGGGTTCTGCGTCCGATACAGAGTAGGGTCCAGGGCCATCTGGGAGTTATGTGCTGATTCCGGAGCCTCCAGAAACTGACAGCAGCGAGGCAGAGGAACAAGGGGAGCCTGTTCCCAGTGCATGCATGCACAGAGCTGCCGAAAGGCAGAATAGTTAAGACAAAAGGGGCGATTCGGGAGTAAGGCTTGGAGGTGATTGGCCCATAAGGCATAAAGGAGGAGCAAAGGGACAGGAACTTTTGCAGGAAGCAACTTTATTCGTACTGGTTGGTTTGAAACCTGAAGCTCTGTGTTGAATCTGTGCTCTGGCCTTGTAAAACTAATTGGAAATTTAGTCGTTGGCAGCATTTCAAGGAAGATAAAGGTGTGTGCTTATCAGACTTATCCTGAAGGACTTTGTCAGACTTCCATGGGACTATTTACAAATTGTTTGAGACTCATTACTGGCTGTGAATGACTAAAATTCGCAGCCATTGAAATAAAGAAAAAAGAGTTTTGGGATTCACATGTGTTACTGTCTCAATAAGCCTTGGTCAGAACAACAACCTTCCCATATCTTTTGTTTTTAAATCCTCACAAATGAGAGAACCTTGGTTTATTGCAACCTGAATGAGTAGCATATATCATAGTAAACCCTTCTTCCTTTTTTTCCTGTTTTTCTCATGAGGAACATGGCAACTTTTGTTTCTATGTTGCTTACCAAAGCTGGTAGTGCTGCCTGACCTAAAATAGTGGTTGAATAGTGGTTCACGATGATTTGTTGAAAGCAGAATCCAACTCCCTACTCGAGGCAGGAGACCTATATCATCCTGGTCAAATGATTATCCAGTCTATCCCTAAATGCCTCTGGAGATGGAGCACCCACAATTCTGGGAGGCAGGCTGTTCCTTTACTTTAATCTGTCAGGAAATTTCTTCTTCTAGATTGGATCTCTCTTTCACCCATTACTTCTTGTACTGCCCTGGTACTTTGGAGAATAAGTCAATGTTTTCTGTGGGAGAGCCCCTCAAAGACTAGAAGACAGTTATCATATCCTAGCTTCAGTAATATGTGATAAGCTTGTTCTAAAATATCACAAGATAAAAAATTTTTTTGGTGAATTTACTGTAGGTATGGAGACACAAACTAATGATTTGGTTCACACATAACTCTAATCTACCATATGGGTTCTTGATTTTGGCTTTTTGAGAAAGGTCATTCTTCCCTTCAGATATTATGGTTTGCTGTAAAACAATCTTAGTGTCATGTGTCTAGGATAATAGAGAGTCCTCCAAATCATGATTTCATTTCCTGGGCTAAAGGTAGCTTGAAAGAAATGACACAGCCTATTCCATTTTGACCTTCATCTGAAAACATAGTGGTAAAATGCACTCATTATAAGAATGATGATATTACCATACTCTTATTTGAAAAAAATATGTATGAGATATGTTAAAATATATTCATGTTTTCCTATCATTGCATAGTATATAGGAAAGCAATTAAAGAGCTTCTCCAAACCTTTGACAATATGTTTTGAAGCATGTTTTAATATATTTTTTTTACATGTAAGGTGTTTTTATTTTTGCGTTACTAATCTAGGACATATTCCAGAATGTGAGTCATCTGCCTACCTTTAGTTCCCCTGCCATTGAAAGCCATATTCACCGCATTAAAGGTCTGTCCCAGAAGTTCGTTTATTTAAATGACGATGTGATGTTTGGGAAGGATGTCTGGCCTGATGATTTCTATAGCCACTCCAAAGGGCAAAAGGTAAGTTCACCACAAAATTGAGGCATAGGATTCGATAGCTCAAACAGCCTTTCTTCTAGCCCAGCTTGTCCGTAATAATTTTTGACTATCATATTAGCCATAGGAAGATGGGTTCCTACCCCTTTCCCAAATACTTACGTGTGACATGAGAGACCTGGTGTCTTACTTTCAGTGAAAAGCAGAAGCTGTTGGAAACGAAGGGGTGAGCCAATGGCAGGCTACGGAATATGGAACACTGTGAAGATGAGTGCATGGTTGAATGGGGTTGGTTGACTGCTGAATGTGTCCTGATTTGTAACATCTAAGCAGAAATCTCTCGTTTCTTTTCTTTCCTTGGTTACCTGGGTCCCATAGCTAGTCTCCCACCAGTTTTGTTCTCCTTTTCCCCCTTCCCATTCTATTTGTCCTTTCCCCATATCTGACTTCTGTTGCATTCCTTTTTGCTGTTTCTTCTGGATGGATTAAGGAAACTGTGGTGTCTGTACTTTTGTGCACAAGAAAGGTTTGTGTGTGAAAGAGAATACAGATAGAGGATCAATTATTTTTATGATTGATTTATTGATTGTATGCCATCGAGTCAGTGTCATCTCTTAGCAAACATATAGATAGATTTCTTCTGGGATGATTCTATTAGAGAGAGGTATATCTACACATATTTATTGGGGAGGGAGAAATACAGGTAATTTTCATGTTATAATGGCAGTAGGGACTGGAATTTCTATCGCTAAGCAATAAGGTTATAAAGTATAATGTTATGTGAGCGCAGCAATTCTGGTAGTCCCAGTTTCCAGTCTCAGTCATGACTCCAGGACTGTCCTGTCAGGGTTCCGACAGATGCCCTAATTAAATCATGAGCCTCAAGCCAAGCTTCAAAAGAAATCCAGTTATTTATTAGGAGCTTCATGTCAGCATGGACCAAGTGGAGCCAACTCTGACCTCAGTTAATTCATGCTTTGCCTCTGACCCTCCCCCCAAGATGTGTCATCAGTCACATTCCCCAATGAAGCAATTTCATGGGTCCTAAAAGTCACTCCCTCTGGTCATTGTGGGTTTCCGTGGAGATGATCTTGAGGTATCGTTTGAAATGTGTTTTGTTTTGACTGAGATGCCGCTGTACAGGATTTTTCTTTGTGTTTTCTTCTTATCTCTTTAGGGTATAGGGTCAATTCAGGGTGAACTTCCTTTGAGAAAACCAGTCATATTCTTTTGTACTTTCTCTCCTTAATTGATAGCTATTTGTTAGGGATCCCTCTATTGTATGGTATTCAGTAACAACTCTTTCATTGAAGAGGAGGAAAGCAATAATTTTAGTGTATGTTCTAAAGATGACAAATCCCTAGAAATGGGAATGTTTAACATATTACTTTAGATTAGAAAACATGCATCTTAAAACAATTTATGTGTTTTGTATGCATTAAACATTCATAGATTATTTACTATGACTAAAAGATGGTTTAAATAAGATCTAGTTATAGTTTGGTACCGAGGGACTGTTTGCCCAGCTAGATGATGGTTTATCACCTACTTAACACATGGATGAAAGACCACCAGCAGATCAGGGCTGTAGTCTGGGTGAGACATCACAGAAATAATCCGGGGAAAAAAGCAGTGGTAAACCATTTATGTATTGTTCCCAGGAAAACAACATGACTGTAGAAATGGAAAACACCAGGACTCAAACTTCATTTAAATACAAACTTACATTTTAGTTTCTACTTTCCAAAAGAAAATAGTCACATTTTTGCAATTAGGATTCCATCATTTCCTATCTACCTTTTTAAATATTTTTGTTCCATCTTGCTTTATTATTTCCATAAATAACTCAAGATGGCTAATATACCTAATGCTCCTTCCTCCTTCTATTTTCCCCATGATGATAACCTTGGGAAGTGGGTTGGCTGAGAGAGAGTGTGCCTGGCCCAAAGTCATCCGGCTGATTTTTATGTCTAAAACGGGATTAGAATTTGCAGTCTCCTGGTTTTTAGCCTGGTGCCTTAATAACTAGATCAGACTAGTTCTCCTGTTTGCTTTTGCCAGTATTTTGATGGGCAAGCTGGCGATTTATATAAACATTCTTCAGTAGCAATATTATTGCAATTTTTCTTGGGTTTTTGAGCTAGAGTTTCCAGTGTAAATGAAAGGGGTTCTGCTAAGACCTTCAATATTTATAATGCTTTTGTCGATTAGATATTAGTTAAATAATTATCACCTGAAGAGTCAGTGATAGTGATTCTTGATGATACAAACTATGGTTCACGCTGTATTATGAGATAACAGCATCAAAGCTCCATAGATCTCTGGCTGATTAAGGCTACTCAAAATAAAGGAAAAATAAAGAATTGTTTGTTTTGGGAGGTATTGCCCATAATATCATTCCAGTTTTATCATGACATTTGAAACCTGGCTAGAAATCAGGACACTGCAAATTCTGATCCCGCCTTAGGTGTGACCACGACCCAGTGCTTTTGGGCCAATCATTTCTTCTCAGTCCAACCTACTTTACAGGGCTGTTGTTGTGGGGTAAAAAGGAGGAGGAAGGTGGATATGCTGGCCCCCTTGACTTATTATAAAAATAATAAAGGCAGGATAAAAAAGTTGTTTTTTTAAAAAAATGATAGATAGGAAATGTGTGAAAAATATGAATATTTTTTTGGGGGAAATAGAAACTAAAGCATTTTGTAATTAGTGAAGGGTAGAATCATCCCCCCCCCCCCCGGATATTAAAATGTTTTTAATCTGATGGTTGTATAAAAATTAACACGTTAATTTAAAATGTATGGGTACTTAGTAACTGCTCAGCAATTTTAAGTTAAATAACTGAATCACTTAGAGAACACACTGGGTTCTTAGGAATTTTAGATAAGACGTATGAAGCCCTTTTCTTTTACTTTGACAATTTGGAATCTGGATTTTGAGTTTTTTTCTTTTTCTTTTTTGCTGTCACATGAAGGAACAACAAGAGCATGTTTGTCCACATATAAATCAAGGTTAGCATTATATTCTTGGCAGATGCAGATCAGTCTGCTCTACAGAGGTGAGTTTAAACTGCTTTATGAAAAACCGTGAGTGTGAAAATACCCTGTCTTTCTAACCATTATCAGGTTTATTTGACTTGGCCAGTGCCCAACTGTGCTGAAGGATGTCCGGGTTCGTGGATTAAAGATGGTTACTGTGATAAAGCCTGTAACAACTCTGCTTGTGACTGGGATGGAGGCGATTGTATTGGTAAGGAGAAACACCTCTTAATGCCTGGCCTTTTATATTTCAATTATTAGATGGATGATAGGTTTGTGTTTTAGAAAGCCACAGATGTTCATTCATCAGACTGTCTTGAGCCCATTCAAAGGGCTGGTTACAATGACAGGACATTTTAGTCCAATGTTCAGTGGTAAGCATGATCATGACACTGCATCTGTACAGAAAAACAAACCACTTCCCCTGCAGCCACGCTTTTCTGATATGGAAATATTTCTGCAGAGAATATGAGAGATCTGGGTGTGTAGTGTTGATTTGTACAAGCACCAAGCAGTTGCTACTCAGTCTTTCTTTGAATTTTAACTTTTCCCACCATTTGGATGGAAATCAGTGGTGGGATTCAAATATTTTTGCCACCGGTTCGGTGGGCGTGGCTTTGTGGGCGCGCTTTGGGCACATGCACACAGTTTACATGCGCGTGTGCACCAAACACGCACTTTGCGCAGGCACAGAGGCGTTTGTGCAGGCACAGAGACGTTCTAACTTGCTTCCTGCAAGCCTGCAGGATCCCAGTTGCTTCAGCAGCTGCTGCGTGGCACTATTCTGTGCCGCGCAAAGCAGCTGCACTTCAAATTCAGCGGATAAAAGTGAGTATGGGAGGCCGGATGGGCAGGCGGGCCCAACAGCAGAGCGGTGGAGAGAACCGGTTTGGTCTCTGTTGCTCATCGCCGCTACCGGCTCGCCACAACTGGACCAAACCGGTTGCATACCACCACTGATGGAAATGGTTGAGCTTGTTTGATATGCAATAGAGATGAAGCCTAAAATGTCTCATTACAGTTTGTCCTTGACTTACAACAGTTCATTTCATGACCGTTCAAAGTTACAACAGCATTGGAAAAAAGTGACTTATGACCATTTTTCACACTTAACGACCGTTGCAACCTCCCCATGGTCAGATGATCAAAATTCAGACACTTGACAATTAACTCATATTTATGACGGTTTATGGCGGTGTGATCCTCTTCTACAACCTTCTGACAAAGTCAGTGGGGAAGCCAGATCCACTTAGCAACCATGTTACTGACTTAACACTTGGAAGGGTTCACTTACCTGTGGCAAGAAAGTTGTAAAATCGGGCAAAACTCACTTAACAAATGTCTCACTTAGCAACAGAAATGTTAGGCTCAGTTGTGGTTGTAAGTCAAGGATTACCTGTATTTTCATTTCCCAGTGTTAATGTCTAAACTAGTAGTTTACCAGAATTTGTTGGCAGTTCCTTCATGGTGGTGACCCCCACGCAGTATGATAGCATTTCCTTAGTGAAATGGCCAGACCACCTGAAGTGGCTGCGATGAATTAGCAGATAGAAAAGTGTCTCTTTAGTTCCAATTATCTCCCTCTTCCCTTTGCCTTATGCTAGATGGATTAAAAAGTAGAACAATCCTGTTTGTTTTACTCTTGACTCGTTTATTTCTATAAAAGAATTACCCAGGAAGGAATTTTTTTTTTTTGGGGGGGGGGGGGAAGTATTTGATGCTTTGAATATTGAAAGCTTTAGGAAAATTTTGTTTTCCATGCACAGTTAACCCTCCACCACCAGCCAGTTGCGTAATGACTTTTCAAACCTATGATGGATTTCCCCAGAGCTACTCACAGTCTGCTTTTGAGTTGCAAGGCCGCACACCCCTCCCCCGCTACCAAGTGATTGCATTTTGAGTATTTGGCAACCAGTTCACCTTTATGGCTGTTTGCTGCATCCTGCAGTCACAGGATTATGACTTTTTTTGCTGGTTTCCAGCATTTACTTTCTGATATCTGACAAAGAAAAAAGAAAAAAAAAGAACACCTATTGGGCGGAAATGATTCACATAATGACCGCTGCGCCTACTTAACGATGGTGGCATTACCTTAACGATGGTTGTACAAACAGTCATAACTTTGAATCCAGTCACGTGATATCTCCATTTGCAACCAAAATGAGTTAATTCTGGGCTCAATTGTGGTCATAAGGTTCTGCCAGTGGGCCTGGGGAACCCAGAGCAGGATGGAGCCCATTGGATGGCTGGTGTGATGTGTTGTTACCGGGGTGAGGAGTGGGGGAGGGTTATTTTATTTTATTATTATTTTTATTATTTTTATTTTATATATATGATGTTTTTATACCTCTGTAAGCTGCTTTGAGTCTCCATGTTCGAATAGGCGGTAATATAAATTTTCTAATAAATAAAAATAAATAAATGAGTCAAGGGCTATCTGTAAACGTTTTACTTTTAAATATATAAAAGCAATTCATAATTTTAAGAATTAAGCTACAATTAGACTTTTCAACCATCCTTTTTCTCTTTTACTTAAGATTTTCCACCTTGGCAATTTGTGACACTGCCATTTTTTTTTCCTTTCCTTTCCTTTCCTTTTTTTTTTAAGGTAACAGTGTGGGTAGCCGTTATGGTGCTGGTGCTGGAGCTGTTGGAGGTCTAGGAAACATCCCCTCCTGGCAGTTTGGTGCAGGAATAAGTGGAGTTTCTTATTGCAGCCAAGGCTGCGCAAATTCATGGCTGGCTGACAAATTCTGTGATCAGGCATGCAACGTTCCCTCTTGTGGATTTGATGCTGGTGACTGTGGACAAGGTATGTCACTACATACTTAGTAACAAGGCCTTGTTCTGCGAAGGACGGTAGCAAAGGGAATCAAAAGCTTGTAAGACACTTTTTGGTTTGGGGAAATTTTATTCTTTTTTTACGCTGTTTTTACCCTTTTGTTCTCGTTTGGATGTATAGGAGTGGAATAAAATAGGCAGCATAATAGGATAAGAAAACTGAATTGTTAAATAGGGACCTAACCTTTCTGTCTTGGATATAGAATATATTCCTTCCCTATTTTATTTCACTATATTTTAGTGTGTTAATGTTTTAAAGTGAATTCTTCGGGGAACACGGCTATATTTCTTTCTGTGTTGAAATTTTACAGTCCATGTGACTGTAGGCTAGAGCAGTGGTTCTCAATCTTGTCTTCACCATGGACCCCCTTTAAATATATTTTGTGGCCATGGACCCCCAAGATTTAACTCAAAATTGAAATCATAACATTTCTTCAAACCTTTGCAGACCCTCTGTGTTCTGTCCCCACTACATGTTAGTCTGTGTGCAGCTCGACATGCAGCTAAACCCACCTATCCTCCAATAAAACAAACCGTGTGCATAATTCTGAATGCTTTATTGAAAGAACAGGATATGGTGAAACTGAGGAAAATAGGGATACACACAATGAGAACCAAATACAAGATAGACAGTATTAAGTTACCACTGAACATAACAAATAATAAATACAAGCAATTTAAATCTCACTAGCGATGCTCTGTGTATGGGATGTGGGTTTGTCCTTGGATGACTATGTGCCACAGATTAAGATGGATGCTTCCTTGTCCTTCTCCAAATGCTAAAGAAAATGGCTTCCCAGCGTTTGAGAGTGTGGGGTGATGAGTAAATGGATGGGATCAACTTCAAACAATATATTTGGGGCATATTTGCCTCTCGGGCCACTAGATGGGGCTAGAGGGCAACAACAGTATAGAAGTTATACATTGGGGCATGACACTCTGTGATCACATCATGGCCTCCCAGGTGTCTTCTGGCCATGGGATGAGAACCACTGTATCCACAACTGATTTCCTGTATATGTCATGTGAATATGTCATGCTCTGTCTTACATATTGGCAAAAAAAATCAGAAAATAAAATACAAGCTGAATAGTCAAGATCTTGTTGATGACTCAAGCTCTGTAAAGGATCTTGGAATACTCACCTCTAATGATCTAAGTGCTAGAGCCCACTGCAACTACATAGCCAAAAAGGCATTAAGAGTTGTTAACCTAATCCTACGTAGCTTTTTCTCTGGTAATATCACACTACTAACCAGAGCATACAAAACATTTGCTAGACCAATACTCGAATACAGTTCATCAGTCTGGAACCCACACTACGTATCTGATATTAGCACAATTGAGAAAGTCCAGAAATATTTCACAAGAAGAGTTCTCCACTCCTCTACTCGTTGTAGAATACCTTATGCCACCAGACTTGAAATTCTAGAACTTGAAAACCTTGAATTACGCCGTCTTCGGTCTGACTTAAGCATGGTATATAAAATCATACATTGCAATGTCCTACCTGTCAATGAATACTTCAGCTTCAACCATAACAACACAAGAGCACACAATAGATACAAACTCAAAGTTAACCGCACTAAACTTGATTGCAGGAAATACGACTTCAGCAATAGAGTGGTCAATGTCTGGAATACTCTACCCGACTCTGTAGTTTCTTCCCCAAACCCCAAAAACTTTAACCTTAGACTGTCTACTATTGACCTCACCCCTTTCCTAAGAGGTCTGTAGGGGGCGTGCATAAGCGCACCAACGTGCCTACCGTCCCTGTCCTATTGTTTCTTTTATTCTTTTATTTTTCTTATATGTACCCATTTCATGTATTCACAACTATGTATACATTTATACTTATTATCTTGTAAACAATTGGCAAATCAAATAAATAAATAAATAAATAAATAAATAAATAAATAAATAAATAATTGTCCACTTTGGTTAAACATTTAAAACTGGAAAATGCTATTTGTCTTAGAAAGACAAGATAATGGGAAATTAGCAGATCATACCAAGTTAATATAGTGTAGTATTGGACTGGAGTTATGGATACCCGTTTCCAATTCAATAAGTGCCCAGCGTCCAGTCACATATTTCCTTTGCCTAACCTATCCCATTGAATTGTTAAGAATATAACAGAGGACCTGGAACAAAGGTAGGGTGAAAACAACAGCACTATGTAAATAACAATACTCTCTTCTTCCAGATCACTTTGGTGAGTTGTACAAGGTAACTCTTCAAAAGAATCAGACTCATTATATCATCCCGAAAGGTGAATCTCTACCTTATTTCAGCTTTGCTGAAATAGCCAAGAAAGGACTAGAAGGCGCTTATAGTGACAACCCAATAATACGCCATGCTTCTATTGCTAACAAATGGAAGACAATCCACCTGCTAATGCATAGTGGAATGAATGCAACTGTAATTCATTTTAATCTTACCTTTCAAAGTAAAGATGAAGAGGAATTCAAGATGCAAATGACCTTAGAAGTGGATACTAGGGAGGAATCCAAATTGAATACAACTGCCACCCAGCAGCCTGCGGGAGATTTGAAAGCTACAACTTCAGTGCCAGAAGCGGAAATGATATTTGAGGATATTCCAGAAGAAAGACGTTTCCCAAGAGTTAAAAAATATCCCAATGGTACATCCAGTAATTTAGATGAAGAAATGGTAATTCAGGCAGTTAATATGTCTGCGCTTCCTGAAGATGTAAAGATAGCTCTGCAGAATTTGGAATTGCAGCTCATAGTTGGCGATATTACTCAGAAGGGTTATAATCTATCCAAGGCTGCTCTCCTTCGACCACTCCAATTGATGCCTTCAGAAACAAAGACGGTGCTAAATGATCTTGAGGAATCAAGGAGGAGAGACAAAGGGCTGAAAATCATTGGAAAGACCATGCTTTGGCAGAGATCTTTCCAAAATGACAATGAAGGCAAAATAGTACCTACAGAAAAAATGCACAATACGTCTCTCCCAGGATTTGTTCCAACAAGTAGCATTCTGGTGGAAATGAAGGTAACCAATGATTTTTCTCTAAGCTACCGCTCTACAGTAAAGCCCACACTTGTTGTCAGGAATATGGATAAAAAGCATGGATTTCAGGTTAAAGCCTTGAATACCCTTATGCAGAAAGAAATCCAGGAAAGGAAAATTGAACAACGAAAGAAGAAAGAAGCAGGTGTAAATCCAGCATTTTCTGAGGAAGGCATCATAGAAGGTCCGAGAAGAAAATTACAATATTACATCGGAAATTATCAAGGCTTTTTGCCATGGGAAAAACATAAGTATTTCCAAGATCTTCTTGATGTGAGTATCCAAAGGACTGAAATACTTTGGCAATGGCTTTTTACTTCTTTCTGGCTCTCACTGAATTCTATATACACTTTTTTATTTAAAAAAAATCTGTATTCAGGGAACATACTATAGAGCAATTCATAAATTTAGTAACTGTAAGCTGCCTACAGTCGTCTGGACTTGGGCAGCCTCTAAATCTAAGCAATTAATAAAAAAGCCAAATTGTTAACAAAAGTGGGTTAAGCAAATAATTTAGGCTCTTGGATTAAGTAAAAAAAAATGAAGCTGAATTGATTCTGTTGCTTATGTAAGCATGATGTGTGTCCTTGTTTTTTTAGGAAGAAGAATCATTAAAGAAGGAGCTGGCTTATTTCACAGAAAGTAAACTTGTTGGAAGACAACTGAAAGATACATTTGCTGATTCCCTCAGATATGTAAATAAGCTTCTAAATGGAAAATTTGGATTCACCTCTCGGAAAGTCCCTGCTCATATGCCCCATATGATAGATCGAAAAGTCATGCAGGAATTACAGGATCTGTAAGTCCAATGGGGAAGGCTAATTATTCTGTTTATTTATTTAAATATTTTTCTCCCACTTTTCTACTTGAAAACCACTGTGACTAAATAGTTCTTGGTTGCTTGAAATACTATAAAAGCTCATTGGAATATACATGCTTAGCATGGCTTGTGATCAGTTATCATCAGAATCTTAAAATGACATAGGACTGTCATAGTTTTTCTAAGCTGTTCAGGCAATCTTTGGATGTTGGAGAGTGGTTGGAGAGTATGATTACTATCAATATACTTGACTGCCCTGCCTGAGAAACCATACATTTGATGGCAATGTGAAAGGCAACTTTTGCATATATAAATGCATTGAAATAAGGCTTCTTGTTGGGAATAAGGAAAAGATCTGATAAATGTAGGACTTTTTTGGTCATAGACCTTAGTTGCACAGATGCCATGGCACTTGATTAAGGATGACATTGCAGAAGAGTAACTTATAACAAGTCTTAACAAATGTCTGTCGATGTCTGAACAACCTTATTTTTTGCATTTAATTGGAGTGGGGGTTAAAGATGTATAAAAACTCCTTTACAATAAAACGATACTACTGAAAATGACAGTTGTATAGTATCTTCTACTGGAAAAGTTACTTAGAAACTATGGTGGCGCAGTAGTTAGAATGCAGTATTGCAGGTTGACTGTGCTCACTGTTCAGGGAGTTTGATCCTGACCAATTCAAGGTTGACTCAAGTCTTCTATCCTTCCAAGGTTGGTAAAATGAGGACCTAGATTGTTGCAGGGCAATATGCTGATTCTGTAAATCACCTAGAGAGGGCTGTAAAACACAATGAAGCGGTATATAAATCTACCGTATTTGCCGGCGTATAAGACGACTTTTTTGCCCCGAAAAACATGCCTCCAAGTGGGGGGGTCGTCTTATACGCCGGTATATCTACTGCCGGCTTTCGGATGCTTGTTGGACGCAGCGAAGGCGCCTCTAGCTTCCTGGATCCCCTGCGTCGCTTCCGCTTCATCCCGCTCGCCTCGCTCCGCCCGAGGCTGCAGCCTTCCCGCTCTTCCCACGGACCCTGGCACTCTGCCCTGCCGCTGCAGCCCCGGGGATTTCTGGAGGGCGTTTCCGGTGGTGGTGGTGGGTCGTCTTATACGCCGGGTCGTCTTATACGCCGGCAAATACGGTAAGTGCTTTTGGTACTAGAAACAGTTATTGAAACTTTGTAAACGCGAGTAATTCATTCCTTTTTTTTCTTGACAGTTTTCCTGAGGAATTTGACAAGACCTCCTTTCATAAAGTACGCCATTCTGAAGATATGCAGTTTGCCTTTTCATATTTCTATTACCTCATGAGTGCAGTTCAACAACTCAATATTTCCCAGGTTTTTGATGAAATTGATACAGATCACTCTGGAATATTATCTGACCGGGAAATTCGTACATTGGCCACAAGAATTCATGAACTCCCTTTAAGTTTGCAGGTAATTAAAAAAAAAACATTGTAGCTTCTTCCATATAATTGCAGCAAGTATGATTTAGATTCAGCAATAGAGTTGGTCAAAGTAGTTTTCTGAGTGGGCTTCCTTATGACTTCTAAAATATTTCCCAGAAAGTCAGTGAATCTTGCTCAATGAGTCATTAAAGTCAGTTGTAATAAAAGGGAAGAGTCTTTTAAGTGAGATGGAAAGGTATCTTCCTAAATTATATTTTTAAACATATGACAAATGATAGAACAATATACATTTAAAATATTATCTCTACCATATTTGTCAGCACATTAATCTCCCCCAGGCTTGTATTTTCTGTAGTTGGGAGAACAAGCATAAAAGCTGTTTTTCTACTTCTAATTAACCATAGCTTGCATCATCTGAACAAGATAAGTAGTGGTTGATATTTAATTATGGAAAGTTTTAAGGAAGCTACATTCAACCCGTGGTGAAGAAAACATATAAATAACTATTGCTATAATTAAGTTCTGTTTTCATAAGACATAGTAAGCTATACTTAATCAAAAGAGCTTTCCAATTCCACTGGGAATGTGAGGCTGGGATGTGAAAGTCACTGTAGTAATTAATGTTGACCTAGGACTCGAAAACCCTAGTTTTAGAATCTCATTCAATCATGGAACTTATTTTATAAACTTTGGGAAAATCTTATTGTAAACTATTTCACAGGGTTGTTGAGAGAAGGTATGGGGAATATACCATTTCAGACTATTGAATGCTGTTCCCTATACCAAAATTCCTTCTTGTAGACATAGAGTCTGTCAGGAAGAAAGATTATCAACTAAACTTTTCCTGATTATCCCATTTTTAAAAATATTATTGAATTTTGGGAGAATAATTTATTTGCAACTAATGCAGAGACTAAGTACAGGTTGGACAGTTGCTGAGATAATCACATTTGTATTTATTATATTTTTAAGATTGTGAAGATTGCAGTAGGAAAAATCCATAAATCTTTTCTTTTTTTACCTATCCCTTACTAGGATTTAACAGGACTGGAGCAAATGTTAATAAATTGTTCTAAATCCCTTCCATTAAATATAACTCAAATTAACATCGTACCACCAACTCAAGAGGCATACTATGATCCCAATCTGGTAAGCAACTGGTATAATATGACTTTATTCTGCTATTAATTTGTACAGACAGTCATTTCAGACAAAATTAATTTACAACACTTATATAATTTGTAGTAGATCAGATTGTTAAATTATAATACTTAAAAATCTTCTAATAAACTATCAGATGTCATAGTCAAAAATGCATGTGTAAAGAGAATTTATGGTTCATTTGACTGATGAAAAACAATCTCCATTTTATATATGCCAACAGAATGAGCATGTCCAGGGTTTTTGTTTATTCATTCAATAATAAACAGATTGCATCCTCTCCCAAAGTTATGACAGAATTATTTCTGAAAATCTTGTTAGGGATAGAAAAATAGCAATATAGTGTGAAACAACTGTAATTCATGAAATCCAAATTTGGATTGAAATAGGATTTTTGAAATTAACAATAATCTTTTTAATTCATCACAAAAATCAAATTTTCTAAGTTTTTTCCATTGCCTGGAATTGAATAGTATGACCCTGGTGGTGTTGATCAGTAATCATGCACTGATGATGTTACCTAGTTGGGTAATGAAATGTCTGCAAGTAAGCAACCAAGCTGAGAGAATACCAAGAACTCCACGGTTCAGTTGCGTATATTTGATTGGAACCACATAGTCTTTTCTGCTGATTCTAAATGCCATGATTCTGTTCAAATACTTTATAAATAATAAGAGAACAAATTCTTACTTTGAGGGGCTAATAGTCCAAAATTTGACAATAAATAAAAAATGGAAATGGGAAAATATTAAATGTGAAATTATGTACAAAGTCTTTGGCAGAATGAGATGTAAGACATTTTTGTATAAAAAGCTCAATTCTATAATATTTTCATGATCCCCTTTTGGTAGTTAAGAGCCTTCATGATTTCTATTCAGCTGTAATTTTCATCTTTAAAGAAAAATGTGCTTGAAATATACTATAGTATACTTTTATATACCACTATAGTCTACACTTGTCAGGCATAAACAACCAGGTCCATATGTGAAAGTTCAAAATTACTGATTTATTGCTCAAGCCCTTGCACAAGAATCTTCTTAGATTAATATTTTATACCTGGGTCAAATTTGATAAGAGTCAATGGTGAGGGAGAGATTGGACTTAATCCTCTTGTGATCACAAGAGATTCTAAACTGTTGCCCCACTTGACTCCTCCCCCTGGCTCTGACAGCCTCTCTCCTACAATACTATATACTATTGATGCTGTAGAATCTTTACATTTCTGTTTGAATTGTTTCAGTTGGGTTTCCAGGTACAAGATGTAAATCTATTTTTTAAAAAATCCGTTTAGAATTGAAAGTTATGTTTTTAGAATTATTTATGGTTTTGCCAGCAAATGTTACTTAACTGGGAATCCCTGTTCAGATCTTAGTTGGTGTGTTTTTCTGATTGTCAAAGATTAACAAGCATTTTTCTTCCTTGTTAGAGAATACATTGCATACTGTAACATATGCATAAGAAATATGGAAATGAAGGCAATTATTTTTAAAGTCACCCTATTTTGTATAATATTAGAATTATGTCTCTGACATTTGCTGAATTGCTATAAATTCTGCTTCTTTGTTAAAATTAAAGAATATCAGCAACCTTTTCTAACTGAAAATAAAAATATAGAGGTAATGATCCATAATTTTTCATAATTGTTTATTTTTCAGCCTCCAGTGACTAAAGGTCTGCTAATGAACTGTAAACTTGTGACTGATAGAATTCGTAAAGCATATAAGGACAAAAACAAATATAGGTATTGATGTTTATTTTACTTAAACTGCAACAATAATAATAAAGAACTAAAGAACCATCTATGACAGGGGTATTAAACTCATGTCATCATAGCAGCATCACGTGATATATTGGGACTTTTTCCCCCTTCGCTAAATCGGGCATGGGTGTGGCCAGCATGTGACGCATCCGGTTCACAGGCCAGGAGTTTGACAGCCCTAATCTATGAACTATGACATAATTAATCTATGAACTATCTGTGTTTTGAAAAACTCAGATTTAAAGCCACCTAGTAACAAAGCATGATATAATAGAAGTTAAAATAATTTTTTTAAAAAAAAAGGTTGAAGATGTAAGATGGACTCTTGATCCATCTTTAATCTGGAGTATTGTATTTTCACAAGAGGGCTGTACATCTTTGATGACACCTAATGTAGTGATATCAAGAATTATTAGCCTTAATTATGCCATATGCCCATAAAAGTTATTCATGAATATAATGCATAAAGATATAATTAAGCTTTATTGAATAATTTTCTACTGTCGATTGGATGCTCTTCACCACTATAAGTTATTCAACCCTAAGATAGATACAAAATTTAACTAGCAGGGGTGTTAGCAAGGGTGCCAGCAAAGGTTGAAGCCCTGCATTTTTAATGCGCATCCCATATAAAAAGAAGCAAGACTTTGATTGTGTGGTCACAGATACCAACTTGACTTTTTTGATAACTTCTCCCATGGAGATGCGAAGTCCTGTTTTATTATTTGCAAACCAGCAGAAGGAAATTATGTAAAAGGAACAGAACTCCGATTCTAAAGCCTCTCTGTGTAATAATTATCCTGGACAGGGTGAGGAGAAGCTAGCAAAAGAAAGATCAAGTTCAAAAATGGGCTAGATTGGATCAGGCTGAGGAGTTAAGAGAAATACCCCCCCCCAAATTCTCCTAACTCATCCTGATGAGAGAGGCAGTTGTGCAGTAGCTCAGATGCTCTTAATTCCTCCATTCTAAGACCCCTTGAACATATGACCCAGAGAAAAGCATATGTAGCTCATTCTGTTCTTCCCATTTTTCAAATACACACATACATACAAATACAACAATGAGAGTTCAGAAATGCAGATGCAAGCACAATATGTTCCTTTATTACACAGAAGAAAATACAGATGCCTTCTTTCATCTCAAGCATTCATCTCAAGCATCATACCAGGTCATTATGAAGAATCCAGAACTCCATGCTTGCATCTCTGTACTATATGAATTAATCAACCTTTAGAGTTTAAGTAATTTCTAACAGATACAGGGGAAAGAATGGAAGAAAATAGAAACCTTCACTTTTGGAGGTGGTTACTAAAATATCATGGACTGACTAAGGATGAATCAGATGGTCCTAGATCAAATAAAAGCTGGCTACTTTCCTGAAATGATCAGCAAGTTGAATGGGGGATGCAAGCGAATGAAATTTTGACAAGATTGAGGGAGGTGGAAGGGCAAAACAGAAAATAAAGGTGGGTTAGAGCAGATGAAAGAAATATTAGTATAATGCTGCTGAAAGAGCTATTAATTATTCCCAGAGACAGGATTTCCATGAGTCAAATCCAACTCAGTGGCACTTGACTTGAAGAACTATGACAAAAAGGGTAATGCCATTCCTTTAATTTCCTAGTTCATATTATTTTGTTGATGCTTACATTTTTTTTATATATTATCAAGGTTTGAAATTATGGGAGAAGAAGAAGTAGCATTCAAAATGATCCGTACAAATGTTTCTCATGTAGTTGGACAGCTTGATGACATACGAAAAAATCCCAGGTGTGCATTTCTAATCATTTTTTTAATTTATATTTTTTTATCTCATAGAGGAAATATTTTGAATAGGCTTTTAATTGTTGATTGTTTAAGTTATAATTTCATGCTTATTTTAGATTACACTGAAGTTTCAGTAGTTTTAAATAGTTCTCATTTAATGACCACTTAAGCATCTTTTAATGGACACAACTAATCTAAACTATTAATACCCCAGTTGCCTTTCATTTATTTAATTTCTAAACTGAGATTGTCCCAGAGTTTAAATGGGAATCTTATTGCATTGTCTGTCTCTTTCTAAGGTTTCAATAAAGTCTATGGGAGAAGCAAGAAGGGATTTACACAGATTTTCACACATAGCACTATATTCATATAATATTAAATAGCAAAGAATTTACAATTGTGTTAAGTATGTCAGCTGTGGCCATTCTTGAATGCCTCTGATCTTCAAGAATTATCCATGCCTTTGTTGCGTCATGTCTAGACTATTGTACTCTGTTGTCCTTGAAGAGTGTCCAAAGATTTCAGTTGATATAAAACCTGGTTGCTAGATTGTTAATAGTGCCCCAAAATGTGATAATATAAAAGGTCAGCATAAATTGCTAAATATTTTCTGGTTTCAGAAGATAGTGGATGTAACTCTTAAAATTTTGAGCAGCAATGAAATTGGTTATCTGAGACTTTGAGTATCTCATTACACGTTCTTCTTAATGTAAAGATCTGCAAAACAGGCAAATTTGTGTGACACTTGATCCAGCCTCTCCAAAATCACTGCCAGATTAGGAATAGCGTCATTTTGGAACTAAGTGGGATCCTCGCTCCCTTAGCTAATTGCTAATTAATTTATAGTTTTAATCTTTCAATATGGTTTTATTTTACTTTTCTCTGTGAATTATTATGCATCATTTCTGTGACATTACTAACAACGACAAAAACTTATTGCAATGAAACAATTTTCTTATATTAGGAACATAAAGACTGTTAGTTGTCTATAAAATACATACTATGTACAAAAAGAAGATAAATCTTTTAGAAATGTAAAGAGAAGATAGTAGAAAGTCTTACATATCTGTAAGTACAGATGCTAGTGTTACATATAATAGACATTCTCAACCTTTTTATTCTTATTAGCCTGAAATGTCACATTGCTTTTAACTGAAGTAGGAGAATGTATCCATTGAGATTAATAGCTGATTAAAAAGTAAAGTTGATTTTTCTCCAGTAAGATTTCTTTTATGATGTGTTTTTTCCCCAGAAAATTTGTTTGTCTTAATGACAACATTGATCACAATCATAAGGATGCCCAGACTGTAAAGGCCGTTCTTAGGGATTTTTATGAATCCATGTTTCCCATCCCATCACAATTTGAACTACCCAGAGAATATCGAAATCGCTTTCTTCATACACAGGAGCTTCAGGAATGGTGAGTCCTTCAGCACCCTTGAAATGAATATGCAGATATTGTGTTATCACTTGTAAGACTTTCTGAGTTGACCAAATGACATTCTCTTTTCTTTTATGGTGGGTTAAATTTACTTAAAATTAAAATTGGTAACAATAACTATTTTTTAAAAAGACAGACAACAAAAGAGCAATAATTCAAAAATTCCATTGATATTTCAGATTCTGTGCAATTTAAGCATGCTTTGTTATAGAGTCTCCTTTTAATAATGTAATCTTTGCTTTCAGCCAACTGGTTAAATGATTTAATTAATGCAAGGCTAAAATACTAAAAATTGCATTGAAGTTTTATTTTGTTCATTCTTTCAAATGTTAGTATTTCCCCCAGTCAAAGAGTACAGGTTGTACTTGACAAACTGAGCCCAGAAGTGTTCAGTTGTTGTGGCTGTTAAATGGATCATCATGTGACTTGATATGATTTTAAGACCGTTGTTATGACATTCCTTAAGTGAGTCACTGCAGTCATTAAATGAATCACATGGCCATTAAACAAATCACGAGGTCATTAATTTAGCATATTCAATGACAATTTCTGCTTGAAAATGGCAAAAAAAGTTGCAAAGTGTGGTCACGTGATTGTGGCATGTTGCACCCAGTCATAAATGTGAGCTGGTTGCCAAGCACCTAAAATGCAATCATGTAACTGTGGATATGTGGGGGGCAGTGTAACTTTTTTTAAAGTCCAACATATCTTCAAAACAATTAAGCAACTGACTGTTAAGTGAGGAGTACCTGTAATGTACAAATCTAAAATTACGGGTGGGGGTATTCTCTTCTGCCACTTCCCAGAGTATTGGCCTCTTATTTTTACTTTTTAAAAAAGGCTAAAAAAAAAGGTAGCTATCTTTTAGTTACATAAATTTTCTCTGGTATGTTGGATTTAATCATTTATTTTTTTAAAAAAAAATATTTCTTGTTTTTATCATATTTACTTAGGAGAGCCTACAGGGATAAGCTGAAATTCTGGACGCATTGTGTATTAGTCACATTGATTGTATTCACAGTCACCTCATTTTTTGCTGAGCAGGTAAAGCTACACACATTGAATTCTTCTTGGGAGATCAATCACTGTATAGTAGAAGTTCAAATATGGGAAAATACAATATGCTAAGGTCAAAATCTTTACCTTATTGTACCAGCCACCATTTATGTGGTTTCAACAGTATTAAGCAGTTACAGAAATGAATTCATCAAAAGTAGTAGAAGATGTAATTGGATGGAGACGAGAAAGAATTGCTCTAAAATGACCTCTTTATTTCTGCTTCTATGAAAAGAACTACTGTTACAGTCATGGAAACAAAGGTTCTTAGTTTCAAGTTTTTAGGATGGGCATTCTTTACAACTTCACATTTGAATTGATAGTGTGTTGCTTAAAGAGCATAAAATATGTTTTATGAAGATGTTTATAGATATCTGGCTAAAAGGCTGGGGCCCAAAATTTAGATGCATATACATCCTCAATAATACCAATAGCCTGTTCGGGAAGAAAGACTGGGTGGATTATTTTTCCCCAGAAAAAAAATCATGGTTAGAATTGTTATGATTTGATGGAATATGTCACTTTCTAGATTAACGGGGAACTATGCACATAACAGTTTCAAAGACATGTTATACAGGGTTTCATGGTTTTCCTCAAAGGGTGTAATAGCTATAAAGTCTGCCATGCTTTTTAGAGGAAACTAGTCTTACAACTAGATGTTGTAAATACAGGTGTTGGATAGATATTTCCAGGATATGGAATATAGCGACATGACCATGTGCATCAATGTTAAAAAAATAACTTGTTCTTTTATTTTTCAGCTAATAACTTTCAAACGAAAATTTTTTCCAAGGAGGAGGATTCAGAAAGAAGTTTGTTATGAACGAATGAAAGTGTAAAAGAATGCTTATTTGTAAATCAGACTACCTCAACATGTGATAAGCATGTAAAGTCTTCAGTTATTTCTGGAGAAGTGGCCCCATTCCCTTATTGCTGTGTTTCTATGTGTGATCCATGCTACTGAATTTAGAAAGGGAAAAATTGTTTGTGAGGCAGGAAGCATTGCGTTGCCAGATTTCAAATGTTTGTGACTCACAAGTGATCTTCTGAATGCTTTATCCTTTTCATAATAAGGGTTACTGAAAAATAGCTGCATTTATTGCAGCATCCATTGCCAATGAAATATAATACTGGAAAGTTATGTTTCTATTAGATGTGTTCTAAGCTTCTGTCGCAAGGCTCTTAATAAACTATTAACCATTTGGTTACTTCTTTAGTTTGTTTATTCTGTTCTCTGAATCAGAAAACATACAAATTTGGGCAGTAATTCTGCATCCCACTAATACAAAGAGGGGTGTGTGTGCTAGTATACATCAAAATCGTTATCACAAGTATGTCATGGTATTCTTTGCTGCAGCCAGTTAGATCAATAGGATGGTTTATGTTACTAATTTCAAATTCCTTATCTGTAGATTACAAGAGAAGGAAGAATGTGATATGAAGCCTAAAAGAGAATCAGTTTCCAGATGTTTTTATGAATGTGCAAGTAATCTTTAAATTGACAGAATTCCCCGGTAGCATTGGAGCACAACTGGAATCATTATCAGGGTTAGAGTCCTACTGTTCATCTATGGGAGCCACTGTGAATCTTGCACTTGTAACACAAAGGGGCAAAATTGCTATTTTTAGCTACTTCCTATATTGCTACTTCCAATTTACATGCCACCTACTTATGGTAAAGTATTTATATGTAATGGATTCAACTATAGATTATTTTCTCAAAGAAATATTCAAAATGTCAGTTTTGTTGCTATATTTTCTGTAATTAGGTACAAAAGAAATTGGTACATAAATACTGTTCAAATGTGTGGTGCTACCTTTGTTGATCATAATGTAAATTGCTGCTCAATCCACTTAGTCAAATTTTAGTCACATTAATAACTGAATGCCGAATTAACATTTAAAGGTTACAGTCTAGTAAAGAGGCTTAGATGTAACTATTATTTATACAAACATGTATATTTTAGCAGTAAAAATGGGTTGCTACATTTTGTCATACATTGTATTGCTTTGTAAGTGTATTAGCATGATACTGACTTAATTTCTCATATCATGTTTTTTGAAAACTGAGATTTGTTCCATAATCTGCATTATTGGTAATTTTCCAAAATCAGGAACAGAAAAAAAGGATAATTTAGAAAAAGATATTTTGAATGGATCATCCTCAGTCATGAATAACTTTACTAGAGTTTAGATTACATCAATCATTTTATAATGAAGATAAAAGATTTTCATTGTACATATGCTGTAAAATATATTTTTCTGTTAACAGTGTCACTGATTTAAAATGTTTTCTGGAAGATGTGTCAAAGAATGATGAAAGATTTAATTTTCGTATTACTGTTAAATATTTCCAAATAAAAAAGCACCTTTTTTGTTATCTAAAAAAACACATGATTAATTTTAAATACAAATAAATTTCAGCTTCTGTAAAGTAACTTCTTTTTAACTTAAAAAATAAATAAAGCACCTTTTATACCACAACTTTAAAAAATTGAATAAAGGGCTGAAGAGATTGTTGTAATGCTAAGATGGCGGAGGGATAAAAAGTTTGTTTGTAACTGCTATAAAGTAGCTTCTGTAACTATGGGACTTTTCCCCCTTTAACTGTATTCTGTTCTACACCTTTTCTTTTCTCTTTTTCTCTTTACTGCTATATGTCTTTTAGCTATGTAAAATCTTTTAATAAAAATGAACAATAAAAAGCATTATTGTACTTAGTTATATGAGTTATTTCAGTTATCAAATGATGAAGACTAACATTTGGAAATGACAAAACTGACCTGTTTGATCAGGGGAAAAACAGTAAGTACTTTTTGTTGTTGTTGAAAGACTGGAAACCACCTGCAGACTTTTTGCTAAAAGAAGAAAAAAGTTGAAATGATTTATGGAGTTAATGATTGAAAAAGATGAGGAATAAGGATTTCTTAGCTGCATTGATTTCCACTTCTGCATCCTTGTATTCAATGTTCTCCAAATTTGGTAACTTTCAAGGGAAAATGCAAAAAGCACTATCGGGAGCTATGAAAATTATACAAGAATGCAGTCAGGAAAAATGCATTTTTTACAATATTCATTTCACCAATAAGAAAATATAGTTGTTTTGCTTTTTCCCCCTATGCTTTTAAGCTGTGAAGTGAGCAATTGGAATAGCCATCCAGCACCTTGTCATGTACATGTGTGTGCTCATTAGGTTTGACTGGGACCACCATTTGACTTTCAGTACAAAATGACAGAAGTCTTCCCTTAGGGCTATAAAATCTGAATGAAAAAAATCAACTGGTAAATGACGGCACCAAATATTGATTTGTTTTGCTGCAGCCCGATTTCTGATAGCCTTATGATCTCATTAAAATGCAGAAAAGTTAGGGTTACCCATTTTATGTATATATGCATGCACGCAAACAGGCACAAATGCACGTATGCACTCATTCATTCAGTTTCCACAGATGCCCAACTCAACCAAATAACTCTGGGCAGCTTAAAATTCTATAGCTGGAATTCTGTACAATAAATAAGGAAATAGGAACATTAAGTGGTCTCTGCTTGCTTTCTATTAACAAAAACCTTGCTGTGGTAAAACTACTCTTCTGCCTTATTTTCTCTTTAAATTAAGCCACTTTTTCCCAGGGTGCTGAGCTGTTCCCAATCTTCAGAGTTTGACTTCAAGTGCTTTCAACCCAAACGTTGATGCTAGATAACTATCTAAAAATGGGAAGGCATGCAGAGAAAAGTATTAAGAGTAATACTTAGAAGAGTAAGACTTCTAAAATAAACCGTGTGTGTGAGAGAGGGGAGGGAGAGGGAGAGAGATTGTGGAGTGGAATTGAAAGGGCTTTGTGAATGAGATCAGATGTTCAGGTGAAAAAGCATCCAGGTTAGGTTCAACCAACACCGGACAGACATGGAATAGGTTTAAAAAAGCTGTATTTGTGTTGTGTGTGTGTTTTGTATAGTCATGCGTTTCTACAGATATGTATATACAACTGCCCATCTCGCAATCTTGGGTATGCTTGTGTGTTATTCATTTCGGTGTATTTATTTTTTTATCGATTTATGTATGGTCCCCTATCTCACAATCTTCTAGGGGGTGTAAGTATCCTTTCCCCCCACTCCTCAATGGTGGTGAAGGAAGTCATTAAGAAAATATTGGAATGTGCTGAAATGAGTAGATTGACATTTGAAATTAGAGAAGAAGATGATAAACAATTTTATAAAATTTGGGATCCATTCTATCAATGGTTAGACAATAAAACATGGTAATGACATATGTAGATTCTTAGAAAATAATAAATATATAAAGATATCTGATTGTAGGATATAGATTATATCTGATTGTAGGATAGATTTGAGATGATATGAACTGTCATAAAACAAATTAAGTAAATTAAGTAAAATATGGATTATTTCATAAAACACGAATAAAAGTATAAATGATTAGCAATGATATTAATGTACTTAATATTTGATTGAAAATATGAGAATATATACAATGTAATTGTAATTGAAGACTACGAAATGGAAGCACAAAACAATTTGTAAACCAACCGACACACTGTATGTATATATATATGGAAGATGGCTTGATGTTTTTTTGTTTTGTCTGTCTATGTTTGTCTTAAAAACCAATAAAAATTTATTTAAAAAAAAAATGGTGGTGAAGGAAAAAAGCCACCCTCCTCTCCAACTTCGTTTGCACAGGGTCCACGTGCCGAACTGGAACGCTCCCTCGCGAGTCACGTGGGCTTTTCTCGCATTCCCTCTCTGACGCAAGAGTAGACCTTTGAAGAAAGGGCGGGACGGGTTCAGGACAGCAGAACCGGCTGCTGGCGGCGTGTTTTCTCCTGAATTCAGCTCTTTCCTCTTTGCTGGGACGAAACCGAGGGGCTGGGGCTGGAGGAAAATAGCGGGCGGGATAACCCGTGTGCGAGTGGGAGAGCGGTCAGTGACTGCTGCTGGCCTGGGTACGCGGACGGGAGTGGGGATGAGCCGCCAGTTCGGCTCTGAGGTGATTTTGGCGGGAAATAAGAGGCAGCGGCTGCTTTGAAGAGCGAGCGGAGGTGGCGTTTTGCGCGGTCCTTTTTCCTCTGCAGGGGAGAGACTCTTCCAGGAAGAGCGAAGGAAAAGATGAGCCGATTAAAGAAATGGGATACTCAAAAGAGGCTTACATCGCATTATTAAAACTCTTCCAGAGTTTTATTTATATGTAGATTTTCAGTGTACCTGCATGCTCCAATCCAAAATTGTTAACGTCGATAACTCACAGGCCAGCAATGTATACAGAATTTTACAGTCTAATACAAATAAAATCCTAATCTAAAGACAGTTTTGATACTGAAAAAATAAATGACTGTCTCTTTTAAGAAGTATTTTTCAGTCATGTGTATATAGTTGTTTTAGTATACCCAAATTGGCAACAACCAGTCTCAGAGTAGTAAAAATGCAGAACTATAATCTTGGCAAAACAGTGTGTCCTTCTGGGGTAATATATCAACTGCTGCTTTAGTTGATGCTTGAAAGCATAAAGAGAAGTTTCAAGTGATAGTTTTTTAAAGCCTCCTCACTACCAACAGGGACTTCTATATTGGGCTCCAGTTACTGTATTTAAATACTGAAACATGAGGATACTTGATACTGAGACCTGCAACTGATTCACAAATGACTTTAATAAGCCAACAGTTTAAATTTGATACAGAAACAAACAAAATCTATAAAGTTGGAATAATAATAAAATTGTACTTTTTAATCTGTTTTGCAGTTTACTCAAAACAAATCAGGTTGTTAATTTATGAGGTTGGTTTATTCAGTTGAACTTGCATGATGAAATAGAGTTGTTTTATATATAACTGAGTAAAACGAGTATTTTGTCATAACCTCACACTAATTTCATCTCTGAAAAAAGTCTTTGTATAAGAAATTCTGTACATAAGGAACATAACATTACTGAATTCCAGTTAGCTCTACAAAAAGATGCAAGATATAACTTCTCTGAATTCAAATTTAACTAAACAAATGTAACATTTGAAAGTTGTTGATGTGTATTTATGTAAATTATACAGCATTGTATCATGGCACCATCAGGAAGAAAATCCACAGGAAAAACAACTAAACTGACACAGGAAGGTTCAGCAGTACATGTCTATAAATTTGAAGATGATCTAAAAAAACATCTGAGTGGTTCTGATGAGGACATTAGAGAAGGTGCAGTAGTCAACTTAATCATTAAAAAACCCAAAGTACCATTGTTTAGAAACCCAGTTATCTGTTATGTGCAATTTATCTACAGACAGGTTTTGAGAGGTGGAAAGTAGAATAAATAGAGCAAATAATTATCAATCATGTAGTTGTAAAACAAAACAACTGTATAGACATTTAAAGAAATATTGTATTCATATTATGCTTATGGGAGTGGACATAGCAGAATTCTGTTATACTTTTTGTGATTTAGAGGCATTTGAACTGTTTTCATGTCCTAATTCAAAACACTAAGAACTCTGAAGTGTATATATAGTAGTTTTCCATAGTTTGTTGCACTAAAAACAACAAAAAATCATGGCAATTTAAACATAAAACTCTACTCCACAGAAGCTTATTATATACCTAAACTTTTGGACATTGTCTTTACAAACTGGTATGCTTTGTAATTTATTTTAGCTAAGATTTTTGCATAATTTTTAACATGAATATGTCACTGCAATATAATGCTGAAAAAATATAGCTGATTCTCAAAAAGTATTAAAACATGTTTTAAAAAGTAATTAGAAATTAAGTAATATTTTTATATTTAATGAAACAATTTTGTGTGTTAACCCTAAAGTCTTTGTGTGACTTGGTAGTACAATCTTTTTTGTTCGTATAAAATCTTTAAATGCAGTCTCCAGAATAATTAATAAAATATTACAGAAAGTAAAGGGATTTTGGAGACTGCTGTTAGGCTATATTGCAGATATAAATGGAACAATACAATTATTGTTCACTTTCCTATATTTTGTTCTAAAATATATTCCATTATTTTGCTATTTTATTGGTTGTTCACAGAAAAATGTACACAGAAGATAATGAAAGCTAGCTGAGTCACACTCTCAGTCCCTCAATAGAGATTTAATTTATATGAAAATTTGTAATGTTTTAAATTGGAGTATCAAAAGTATGATTGGATTAGTGAGTGTAATTACCATGTCACAGCTTCATTGGCCTCATGTATTTGAGTGGACACTACAAGATGCACTCTGTTTGGAGAGGTTCACACAGCTTTAGGAATACTAAGGACTGATCTGTTTTCTTTCATCTTTTCCTGGTGATGCAATTAATTAAATTTATGTTTTGCTTTTCTGTAAAGATGAAGCTCCAGTGATTGATAAACATGGGAAGAAAAGACCAGTAACTCCTCATGCCGGAGTTGAGGATGATGTTGGGTAATTTGCTTTCCTACTCACTTTTGATGCACAGCTGTTATATTAAATGTAATTATATAGTATATGAGCAGCTATAGTTATAGTAGTCAATCAGAAGTGCATATGTATAAATATTTTCACAAGTTTGGCGACAACATACGAGTAATTTTCTGTATATCAACTCAGATACGATGTATAGAAAGATTATCAGGTCAGTGTAAGATGGCATTGCAAAAAATGTCTGTGCACATTTTAAATATAGTTTGTCTTTATTTTACATAGAAACATAATTAAGAATTTGTTAATTTACTGGATTGTATTAAAAAATTACCAGTATGAGAAATGTCAAGCATTCAAAGTCTCTCTTTGTACTAAGAATTGAATTGATTGACTTATAACCATCACATAGAAAATAATTTATAAATCTGATAAATGCTAATAGAATAGGACTACCATATTTGGGGTGCAAAACTGGATGCACATTAGATAACAAAAATACAGGAGATACCTACTCTTTGCAACCAACACATTTTCCTGAGTTTTTCAGACCAGATATGCCGATTCCATATTAGATAGAGATTTTAGCAATTTATATCTAAGTACAGGCAGTGCTTGCTAACAACCACTTATTCAATGACCATTTAGAATTACAATGATGCTGGACAAGTTGTGATTGTGATTATGACTGACTGTCGAAGGTCCAGCCATTCCAGCACCTGTGCAGTCACAATTGTAATTTGGGTGCTTGACAACTGACTTGCGCTTATGTTTCCATGCTTTGGCAGTTATGTGATTGCAATTTGTGATCCTCTCTGTTTGCTTCACACAAAGAAAGTCAGGAAGCCAGCAGGGAAAATCACAACTTGCTCAGGTAAGTCTCCTCACTTACATGCCGTTCCCCCACCCCACTATCCACACAACTTCCTGGACCTTTGCTACACTTAATGCTATGTCTCCCTGGCCATTTGCATATCCTCCCCCACCTGGCAGCAGTCACTTACTGTATCTATCTGCCTGCTTGCAAGCTACCAAGACTTTTTCTACCAGCTTCCCCACTGACTTTGGTTGTTGGAAGCTACAGGAAATTGCAAGGAAGTTCTTGCTTAACCATCCATAATCCTTGCCTAACAAGGCCAATGAGGATAGCAGCAATTATCTTTTCTAAGTAGTCATGTGACATCATGTTTTATGATTGTATCACTTGACAATGGAAATTCCAGTCCCAATTGCCTTTGTAACAAAAAGATTACCTGTATAACTTAATTTAAAATATTAAAAAAGCTCTGTAATGCAGATATATTGTAATTGAAAAACACAATTATTTTCACAGTAAAAATAGGAATTAAATCTATCTCAATTAAGTATTAGTTGCTTCCAAGAAAAAAATTATAGAATTGAAATCCAATAAACCAATCCAAATTTGGTTTGACAAAGATCCATTTGTTCTTTTGTATAGTCAAGTAAATGAATAGTAAGCCAAATAAGAACTACTGAATTTATTAAATAAAGCTGTCTCATCTCTTCACAAAATTTGATTCAGTTTTTTAAATCTTCCACAATTACTTTAATGAGAAGGAAAATAAAGCTTAGTGTACTAGCAATAAATAAAATACCATTGTGGAATATCCTCCCTTTGATTCTATATTTCTCATCCAGTTCCGATAAGGTGGCTGCAATAAAATACACACATACTAAATACAGAAGGACCAGTCACATACTTAACAGTGGTTTGGATATTATTATATAAAGGCTACAAATGTCAGATTGCTTGGTTCAGAATTAGTTCAATGTTCATTGAACTCAGGAATTCAGTAACCATAGTTAGAAGATAATACTGTTATTTAGTTATTTCTTAAATTATTTCATTTAATATATATCTGTATTTTCCTCTATGGTAATTTTTTATATTGATAGGTGCCATTCACAGTATTGATTTTGCCAACATGTTTTAGTAAAGTGTCATATTTTAAATATTTAGTACATGGGTTAACTGTAATTATGCTATATTAAATAAATCTCTATTTTTTCTACAGAACAATAAGAAAGATATACATTTATTTTCTTACAATGTATAAAAATTAGTCTTAAAATTAATCTATTTTATAGGGGAGAAGTGCAGAATATGCTGGAACGATTTGGAGGTATGTTTTGAAAAAAACTCAGATAACTATTATACATGAAGGTAAATATAAGTGTTGCAGGATAATATTGCAGTATAGTATCTGGGTCGGACACTGGGACCAGACCCAGATAGGATCCTGTAACAAAATGTACTAAAACTGTATATTTGAAATTTTGACCGTGACTCTTACTAATGGGTGAAAAAAAATCCAAAAATGGAATTAACGTATGTCACTAGAGCTGAATGTATAACACTATTCTAATTCTTTAGGATGTTTTAGGTTTCCTGCTTTTGTAATTTCTCTGGTAAGTGTGGAAGGGTGAGTAGGAATAATATAAACTGGGTAAATCAGTTTATAAGATAATTCAGCATAAATTAATATTTGAAGTGCAACATCAGTAGTAGGTAAAAATACTTGATATATTAATAATTGTCAGCTAACATTGAATTAATATACCAATTTTATTCAATCTAAAGTCTATATTTTTTTTTTTTTCTCTGCACCTAATAGTATGATGGTCTGTAGCAAAGTGCTGGTCTCATGCGCATCAAGTTCTTCCCCAAAAGAAATTGCTTCTTGTTATGTGTAGTTTATTATATAATTTACTCACAATCATTTAAACTTAATCAGGTGCAGTGTTAATAAAAGCACATTCTTAAATTGTAATTAATGCAGTTCCAGTTTGGTTCTCAAGCTAAGTTAAACTTGTGAAATGGCTTTACTGAAAAACTTTCACCCAAGGATAAAGTGGAACTGTAACAAAATCCTGTTTTACTGCTTTTTCTGTTGATCATTGTACATTAGCACACATTCTGTCTACCAGCACAGTTTGGTATTGTAGTAGAATTTATCCATTTGATAATGTTAATGACTCAGCATTTATCAATATACTGGCTTATTGAAAATACTAGGGTTAGGTGTACAATACTCAAAATTAGTCTGAAAAGGCACTATAGTAATGTTTGGATTTATTACAAAGTGTTAAACTTACTTGCTAAAAAAAATCATTCTCTTACTATAGCGGACATTAACAAAGCTCTTCTGGCTAAAAGAAAAAGATTAGAAATGTATACAAAGGCTTCCCTTAAAACAAGCAACCAGAAAATAGAATTTGTTTGGAAAACGCAACAGGAACAAAGGTCAGTTAGTTCAAGAGTAATAAATATTTCACGGGAAATAATTACTTAATTCTTTACAGCTGGTCCTTGACTTAATTGCAAGACTGTAATTGAACTTGCAATTTTGGTCATAAGTTGACACCATTGTAAAGCCAGTCACCATGTGACTGGATCTCATTTTACAAACAAGTGAGCACATTGTAAAGCAAACCCTGTGATCATTAATTGAACACAGTTTTTAAGTGAACTAATTTTTTTTGCTATAGGCTGATTTTTGCCAGTAAAGACCAGTTTCCTGCCATAGGAAGAAGACCATAAACTGTGGTCACTTGACTGCAAGATGCTGCAAACCGCATAAATGCAGTCCTCAAGTGCTCAAAATATGGTCACATGACCAGTACCTGTAAATTATGATTACATTTTGTTCATTTTGCTTACTGAAAAACAAACTTTTAGCCCTTGGAGAAATATTCTAGCTGCTTTTTTTGGTATCTAGATTATACATAATGTGAATGAATATGGATTACATTAACCCAGAAATTTAACAATAAATATTTTTTAAAAACCATTGATTTTCATTTATGTTTGTGTTTTACAATATTTTAAAATGCCACAATGTTGGTACTTAAAAGCATCAAAGTCTGCAGTGTTCCAGGGGTACCCACAAGTATGCCAATTTAGTTGGTTAAAGTCACCATTCCATATTCCTGTGGATTTATTTTACAAGATATTACACATTGCACTCTTTCTAATGGTAAATATATATTGCAGGCAAAAGGTTAACCATGAGTATTCTCAGCAGTTCCTGCATGTATTTCAACAATGGGATGCCGATATACAGAAAGCAGAGGAACAGGAAGAAAAGCTAGTGGTTTGTTTTCTTCTATTATACTAACCAGATTGCTATTTCATGCTGACTTCTTTTTCCTCCTGTGATACAGGTATCCCTCAACTTACAAGCATTCAAAGTTACAACTGCACTGAAAGTGACTTATAACCAGTCCTTACTTATAACCATCACAACATCCCAGGGTCATGTGATTTCCATTTGCAACCTTCACAGCTGGCTTCTGACTAGCAAAGTCAGTGGGAGGAACCTGATTCACTTAATGATTGTGATTTACTTAACTGCAGTGATTCAGTTAACTGACATAAAATTAGTGCTACTCACTTAACAACCGCCTTGCTTACCGCAATGGAAATACTGGTCCTTATTGTGGTTATAAGTTGAAGATGGCTTGTATAGGAGAAATTATCATTCAATAACCAAAGATGAAATATTCAGTGATGTGTGCATTATTAACTGTGAAAATATTTATTCCCCCAGAGTGCAGGAAACTCAAGTCAAATGAGCAAAATCAAGCACTTTATAAGGTTTGTTTAACCACAAAAACAATTGAAATTTAAGGCCAGTTAATAGGTAGGTCAGAAATGTACAACTATCCTTTCTGCCACAACTGAGTTTCAAACCAGCTGTACAAATTGTTTTGTAAGTGATTTCCCAAGTTGAATTCAGATGTACACACACAGTTGTAAAACTTAAAATATGCATCATACAACTTGGAGTAAGTCTATTCCTGATATGTCTTGTTAACAAAGAAAATCTCTATAATTGAATTGTATCAACTTAGTAACCATTATACTTTTCCCCCCTTCAGAATGTTTTTCGACAACAACAGAAAGCTTTCCAGCAAGCAAGAATAGTTCAAAGTCAAAGGCTGAAAACAATTAAGCAGTTGTATGAGCAGTTTTTAAAGGTTATTTTTAAATCAAATTGTAGCTCTGGACATAGTTTTATCAAGCTCATATTTGAATGTTGTAGTTTTCAGTTAAAACTTCATAATGGTGCTGGAAGAATATATATGTGCAATATTACTTGCATAATATGGTTAAAGTCACAGCAATACTTTTATGCTTTAAAATGCAAGTCATTACTACTACTAGATATTAGCTATTTAGATTTGTTACCACTTTCTTTAACCATTCTGTCAAATTTCTAATTTTTGTTCTATCATGCAATTTTGCGATCAGTCTAACACTGCTAGTGCAACATACTGGTGTTGATAATGTTATCCAACATCCCTTTTTCATTCCTGGACAAATTTCTTATACAATATGTATCATCTCAACTATGTTCCACTTTCAAGCTTTCTTCATACATTACGTAAATGTTGCATGTAGTGATTTTTCTATTATCTTTCTAGTTTTCTTCCCAAGTCACATCAGAACTTGTAGAGGCAAGATCCAGTAAATTTCCTCCAAATAAATTTTATCATGCTAAGGTTAACATATTCCATATTTATGAAATTATGCTTCTCAGAATACTAAGCATTCTGAGGGTTTAGTCTATATTTTGACTTTACAAATGCAAGAGATTACTTGATGTGAATTATTATCCGGTTGTCATGAAAGTGAATTTTAATTTTAGAGTATGGAAGACATGGACAAGACTCATGAAAGTCTTTTAGCAGGGGCACAGAGTGAGCTTCGCAAAGAAATGTCCCTATGGCAAAAGAAAATAATGATGGACACAGTAAGTATTAATACAGATTTATGAAAACTTCAACAACTTAAATAGAAAAAATAAACATTGTTTACAATTCATGAGCTAAGAGACCTGTGATACAAAATGTTGCATTTGATCAATATATTTTTCTTTCTTGTAACAGCAACAGCAAGAGATGGCAACTGTTCGCAAATCTCTTCAGTCCATGTTATACTGATGGTTCAGTGGAGAAACAACTTGTACCTAAATAACATGATACAAGTATATACATTAGCCATTGTGAGGAGAAAAAGGAGACTGTTTCACATTCCATGTTAAAAATTATATGTGTCTGAATACTTCATAGTTACAAGAGAAATCAACAAGTAATAAAAACGATTACTGTTTTTTCATTTTTCACAATATGATTCTTTTATTTTAACATACTTTTTCCTTCATTTTCAAATTACAAATGTAAATGCCTGGATTATGATAGTATCTGTAAACTTCAAAATATCTATACTGTAGATTTATCCCTAGTTAGGCACAGTGATTACATAAGTCCATTAGCTGAATTGGAAATGTAAGTCAAAATGAAAAAGTCCTAAAAGCTGGGGAGGGGAAGCATTACACACATTAGAAGTAAAGTGCTTACATAAGAATTGAACAGTATTGTTTATAAATTCCTTGCTATCATATGCTAAAATATTACAATGTATGTTTTCCAGATTTACTACTGAAATAATTTAAACGTATTAATATGTGGTATAATGTACTATTTGAAGGAAAAGTTATGGGCTAATAAATTGATACATCAAACCTAGTGTTTTGAAAATACTAGTTTATGTAATTAAGTTAAAAACTCCTAAAGTACCATTGCACTGATTATTGAATAGAGTAAGAAAGCATTAATTTCCAACTGAAATGTTTCTTACGATCAATTGAAATACCAAAACGTTGATTCAATGAGCTTACAAATCAAAATTTGAAAAGTTAATTTACATTTTCACAGGTTTAACAACATTTAAACATTACAGATGCAGTATTTACACAGTTTTGGAATAGTTAAAGCAATTTAAAATTGTGTTTGACTTTTAAATCTGATTTTTTTTTAAAAAATTAAGTATTTCTTCTGTTTTTCACCAAAACTTGCTTTGACATATTTGATTATATTTAAATATCAAGGTTTGGCACTTACTAAATATCATAATGCCACTGCATTAATTATTTTCTATATAGAATTTACCATGGTTGCATAATGGCAATTTTTCAACTGAATCTGCAAATGTGATTTTTATATAAATAGCTTAGGAGGCTTTTTTTTTTATACCTCATTTAAAACTCAAGGTAATAGATTATTCTATTGGGTTTCCTAATTTCTAGAGAGATATAATAATTAGTAATGCAGATTGGATTTTTTTTACTAATATATTAGCAGTGGCCACTTGGAATTGATTCCCCTATGAAAGTGTAATAGAAATCAGCAAAAAAATATTTAAAAAATCAGCAATATTTTAAAAAGAATCAAACTATCCTGACTACACCTACAACAACTGTTTTTATTATACAGTGTCAAAACTAAGATGAACCACATTTTTAAAATCAAGCATAATGTCTATTACATGTGTTCAGTCATGGCTTCTATGTCATATTTGCTTTCCATAACCTAAGAATCATTTTTGAAAGATAAATTCATAAATTAACAAATTTAATGCCTCAGGGTTGCATGAAAAACAAACAAACTATCATTTAACATACAAGGAAAGAACTGTGGTTGTAAGTTTTTCTAGAGACATAAACATTCAAAAGGAGGAGCACATATTGCTGGCTATGCAAGATAATTTCTAAAAATGTTAATGTATATATTAAAAATGCAGGTATGTATTCCCAAAGTACTTGTAACACATTTGTGTAAATGAAAATAGACTTGTTTTAAATGTAACGGACCAAATTATTTTATGCTAAAAAATGAAATGGCTTCACATTTAAAAAAAAAGAGATTGATTTCATTCTATCTTATATCCAAGATTCCATTGCAGTACTTCTTCCCACATCACTCCCAAATTTTCTTTTTTATAAACAGCTGTCTGGGAAGTTACAATTTGCAAATAGCAAAATAAGGCATTAATCCTGTATTTTCATATGATGAAAAGCAAATACAGGTAATCCTTGGGTTATGACCATTCATTCAGCAACCATTCAAAGTTACAATGGCACTGAACAAATGGTACTTAAGATGGGTCCTTATACTTCTATCCATTGCAACATATCTGATCACATGATCATGATTTCTGATGTTCCCTGCCAGTTTCCCACAAGTAAAGTCAATTGGGAAACTGGTCAAAAATTGCAGCCAATGCAATTTAGCAATGCCAGCTGGGACTGCTGTTGCTAAGTGACAATCGATGTTGTGCTTTATAACTTGTTTAATGACGGGAATTCAGGTCCCAATTGCCATTATAAGCTGAGCACTACAGCTTGGGGGGGAAATGTCAGATGGCAGAGGAGGAAAATGCTTAAATGTTTCTGTCTACTGCAAACTTTAACTGAAAGTCAAAACTGCAAACTTTTGTACAGCCTGAAAAGAATACCATATCCTTTTAATCACTGATTTCTTTAACTACATTGGTTAAATTTTTAGCCAATTTCTTGAAAGCTCAAGGCATTTACAGAATGTTCAATGAGCTATTTTTGTACTATATAGTAATGGTAAATTTACTCTCCTAAAAAGTCAAATTCATTCATGGAATAGTCCATGCTAATGATTACCTACATTAGACTTTCAACCATAAGTGTATACAAACAGAAAGTATTTACACAGGGATTAGTTATTTTTTTCAAAAGCTTCTATGATTCTGATCAAAATAACTAGTCTTAGTATAATTTGAAATTTTATGAACTTCATATATTTGGTTTTTTTAAAAGCCTCCAGGTTTATATTTTTTAAAATTTTTTCCATAATTCAAGATTTCTACCTACTTCTCTTCACATTTAATTATAAGTCACTCATTATGATTCTGAACCTGTTCAACAGCTTGAGGAGGTGAGAGCTTGAAGACTTGTATGTGAAGGTGAGCAGCGATCTGTATGCATATTCCAGTAAAGTATCTCAGCAAATCAAACAAGGAGATGAACTAAAGATGAAGAAAGGGAGGGGGAGGAAGCTTATAAATTAATATTACAGCACATTGCATACAACAGAATTCTTCCTTTTATCCTCCTATTGGGTATAGCAGATAATTTAAATTCATATAAAGCAAATTGGAAAAGCAGTTACCAATCGAGAATTGCAGTACTGTTAATATTTTACTGGTCTATACAATTATAGAAAATATGTCTTTTTCCAGAACTTTAATTTTCCCTCCTTTCCATCCCCAGGAAGAGAGAATTTTAATTGTACATCCAGTAAATTACAGAGGAATGAATGAAAAAGAAAAGGCAATGGTTGTCTCCCTTCTGAGTTGATGTTGAATTAATAAATGCAAATACAATGGCACATTTCAATCCCATAAAACCTATACATTTGGAAGCAATGCATTTTATGAATGGAAACATTAATCCATACTGACAGTAGTTAACAGTAAATCCTAAATCATATGGTACAAGTATTTTCTCTCTCTTCAGTTATGTTCTACCTTTTCCCTCACTTTTTTTTTTCCATAGAAGAGTCTGGAAAACAGTTTAAAGATATTCCCAAAGAATACAAGAAAGCCTGCTAGAACCTCTCTTGGCTGCAATAAACAAACAAGCTCTAAAGTTAAGCAGATTCAAGTTGGATTTAGATGGGAGACAGGGAATGTGGGCTATGGCTAAAAAGCACGTTGATCAGTATAAATGTAAAATGGTAATATACAGATTATATGAAAAAAAATTAGATTAGCCTATCTATCCTCATTGAGAAATTAGGAAAAATAATTCATTTTCATAAGTTTTTTCATATTATCAAATGGTATGATGGAATTTCTGCAAACATTTCCTCAAATAAAAGCTGGATAATTTTCTTATGTTCAAAAAGTTAAGTCTACTGTCTGATACATGTTAATATTTTCCATCAGTACCTGTTCAAGAAAACAACTAGTTCCTGCTCATAACTTAGCTTCTTTTTCAACACATCTTTTTGCCAGTACCAGATTTCTCCTCAGATAGAAACTCTATCCCGAATGAATTATAGAAATGACTTTATAGAAAGAATATTTCACTTTATAATTTTGTCATGTACAATATTTGAGGTCCACTCAAAGGGGAAATATTTGTTGTATTTCAATAAGGCTCTTATGTATGCCAGTTTCTTGAGGGAGCAATTGGAAAGAATACATGTTAATTGTATTATTATTTAACCTATCTCCTAGTTAGAATTTCCTACATATGTTTGGATAATTATGCTTTATTGCATAGAGTTTCTAGGGATATTGTAAAGATATTGGGTTTCCTATCCCAGTGATCCCACTCAATCAACATCTATCATTCATCCTTTTATGACATGCTGACAACTCAATCACTTTAAGTAGTAATGTGATTCTTTTAAGTTTATTATTATGGTGTCATTTTGATGTCTTTAAAAGACATATAAATATTTTTAAATTTTGATTTAATGTTTTAGTATGATCTAATAACATTAGTTCTTCAGGATTTCATTTTGTCTAAATCTAGATTACTTTGGATAAACTCTAACACAGTTTGGACAAATATGGAATGATAAAACCATCTCTATCTATTGGACCGGACAGAATATGTGCCTACTTCTTAAAAAAACTATCCACTGCCATAGCTGAACCTCTAAACATAATCTCTGAAAAATCTTTCAGGACCAGCTCCTTGCCAAAACTATGGTCACAAGCCACGGTCATCCCCTTCTTCAAAAAGGGAGACCCCAGTCTAGTTGAAAATTACAGAGCAATCTCTTTATGCTGCGTCACCTGTAAAGTCATGGAATCAATTATTAACCTACTCTCTAATAAACAATTTGGTTTCAGGAAAAAAAACTATCATATAATCTGCAACTCTTACACTGCAAAAACATGGACTACACAACCCGATCAGGGGAAAGCAATAGACACAATCTACATAGACTTCTGTAAAGCCTTTGATTCAGTGGTACACGACAAACTACTCCTAAAGCCTTATGGTATCTCTGGACACCTGCATAACTGGATAGAAGCATTCCTGTCAAACAGACAACAAATGGTCAAAATTGGGAGCGTCCTATCAAATTCTGTACCTGTCAACAGTGGTGTCCCCCAAGGCAGTGTTCTAGGACCAACTCTTTTCATACTCTACACAAATGACCTCTGTGGTGATATCAAGAGCAACTGTGTTCTCTTCGCTGATGATGTAAAGCTATTCAACACCACAGACAATACTGCTACCCTTCAAAAAGACCTTGACTATGTATCAGAATGGTCAAACAAATGGCAACTTCAAATCTCAACAAATAAAGGCTCTGTCCTACATATTGGCCAAAAACAAAACAAAACAGAAAATAAAATACAGGCTGAATAGTCAAGACCTTGTTGATGATCCAAACTCTGTCAAGGATCTTGGAGTACTCATCTCTAATGATTTAAGTGCTTAGAGCCCACTGTAACTACATAGCCAAAAAGGCATTAAGAGTTGTTAACCTAATCCTACGTAGCTTTTTCTCTGGTAATATCACACTACTAACCAGAGCATACAAAACATTTGCTAGACCAATCCTTGAATATAGCTCATCAGTCTGGAACCCGCATTATGTATTTGATATTAATACAGTTGAGAAAGTCCAGAAATATTTCACAAGAAGAGTTCTCCACTCCTCTACTCATTGCAGAATACCTTATGCCACCAGACTCGAAATTCTAGACCTAGAAAACCTAGAACTATGCTGCCTTCGGTCCGATCTAAGTATAGTATATAAAATCATACATTGCAATGTCCTACCTGTCAATGAATACTTCAGCTTCAACCATAACAACACAAGAGCAAACAACAGATACAAACTCAAGGTTAATCGCACCAAACTTGATTGCAGGAAATACGACTTCAGCAACAGAGTGGTCAATGCCTGGAATGCTCTACCTGACTCTGTGGTTTCTTCCCCAAACCCCAAAAATTTTAACCTTAGACTTTCTACTATTGACCTCACCCCTTTCCTAAGAAGTCTGTAGGGGGCGTGCATAAGCGCACCAACATGCCTACCATCCCTGTCCTATTGTTTCTTTTTTATTTTTCTTATATGTATCCAAGTATTCATAACTATGTTTTTACTTATACCTATTATCTTGTAAGCAATTCACAACAATAAAAAAATAAACTTATTTTCTTTATAAGACTGTACTTTGAGGAGCTATTTTAAGACAAGAGATTCACGTTTTCAAGATAGATTAATTCTACATTTTCTTTTCCTCTATTGCCTCTCTGGAAAAATCACTATCCATTATTTGAGGAGCACAACCATCTTTGCCTTTTCATCATCAAGATGCCTTGTTACAAATAGCTTCTATATGTCTTTGTACCTTCTTTGTTAAGGAAATTTCTAAAATTACAAAATTGTCCCATTCATCTCTGACCACATTGGTATGTTTCAGTTTTTAAAATACTTTCTTTCAATTCTTGATTTATATATTTGACAAGCCACTCAAAATTCATATTACCAATCATTATGTGTAATCTTATACACAATTACATAAAAATACAATACATTTACTTACCAGTGCTATCCATAAAACAATGTATTCATCAATAAAACAATTGAAGTACTGGTTTAGAAATAAGAGGCCTGGCCCAATGAATGCTATGTCTTGAAGTAAGATCTCACTTTTTGTCATGTGTGCTACCTATAAACAGAAATTAGATTATCTACTAAATTAAGACTTTTAGATCCTATTTAATCCTTTGCAATGTAAATGTACTATCAACTCTAATGGGAGACATTAGAATGCTATAAAATAAAAAACTTCAAAGTGATCTAAAATGTACACTCAGTAAGAATAGCAAGAATTCACTTAACAACAATAAAAACTACAAAAAATATTGAACAGATTTTGTCTGCTGGTAGTGGTACTCTTTACTTAATCACAGATAACACTTTAATAAGCTTGATGTAGAATACAAATTGTAATATACAATATATATTCAATGTTTATTAAAACTGGATTTACATGGAGTAAATACATACTTTCTAGTTTATCTTGATGCCAGTGGACTTTCTGGTAAACATGGCCTTAATAATTAAATCTGAAACTATATTGTTTGCAGATATTTCCTCTGGCAAAAAAGTACCATAAAACCATTTGTTGTTTTGTTTGTTTGTCTTAATAAACCATAATTTGTAGTGAGTGTCTACTTTTTAAATTGAATGTATATATGACCACTGTATTCTATATACCGTATTTGCCGGCGTATAAGACGACCCGGCGTATAAGACGACCCCCCAACATTTCCACTCAAAATATAGTTTGTTATATACTCGCCCCCTCTTCCGCACGCCTTCCACTTTTGCACTTTTTTTTTTGAGGCACTTTTGTGCACCGTGGAAACGAATCCCGTGAAGCCGAAAGGAGCAGCCAGCCTTCTCCCAGCTCCCAAGGAAACGAGGTTCGCACCGCCCGGGCTCCGCTGAGGTATCCGGCTGGGGCTGTCAGGAGTTGTTACCGCTGGCGCGGCTCCACGCAGCTCCAGTCCCGCGTTGCCTCAGGAAGGGAAAGACAAAAAGGAAGAGCCGCGGCGGCGCTTTGCAATGGCAGCAGCGGCTCCTGGTTTTGCCTTTCCCTTCCCGAGGCAACGCGGGACTGGAGCTGCGCGGAGCCGCGCCAGCGGTAACAACTCCTGACAGCCCCAGCCGGATACCTCAGCGGAGCTCG